GGTGTAAGGTATGTCTTAAACCAATCAATTCTGAGATATAAAGGAGCAATTTAGGTACAGAGGCAAGCAAGCATGAATGGGGGAAGATAGATGCCATGTGGAGATCTCCAGGAAACTCCAAGAGGAATGCTAGAGAAACTGAGACAAGGGTTTTCCTCCAGATCAGACAAAGAAAGCCTTGCCCCAGAGCTAGGGCCCTGAATTTGGACTGCAAACCTCCTAAACTATGAGAAAATAAATTTCTGTTCGTTAAAGCCACCCACTTGTGGTATTTCTGTTACAGGAGCATAAGAACTAAGACAGAATTTAAGACTTGAAGAGAACCTACAGTCAAGAAGTACCCTTTCCTCACCTGCCCTGCCTCTTCATGGTTTAGATCATCCCTTAGAGCACAGTAGAAAAGGTCCCCTTCTATGTGTGTTCTGTATTCAGAACTGTATATGACTATGCTCACGAGGTTTAGAGTGGTTGGGCATGGGAAAGGAAGTCAAAAGTGTTGGTTTTCAGAGAACCAGGGGGTAGACCAGCAGTGAAGCATAGCCCAAGATATTTTGAGGAGATTGAGTAATCATTCAGCATAATTACCTAAGAAATTCCTGGATATGGCCAGGGCCATACAAGACATTATAGAGAACTCAGAGGAGGTGTAAAACCAGAATTCTCTCTGTAAGAGGTACCCATCAAATAAAAGAAAGCGGGATTCAACCAAAAGATGCTGAATTCCCCTCACCATGTCTAGCAAAGTTCCTGGCACATTGTAGAAGCTGAATGGATGAAAGAATGAGTACAAGGAAATAATCAAGAATTAAGTTATGGTGACCGGAGAGTATTTGTAATTAAAGGTCAGACAAGAACAAGAAGGCTCCCTGGAGAAGTGAGAATTCGGATGCATGAAGAATGGGCAGAATTTGATGGTTTGGAAGTCAACCAATTGCCTTCAAGTCAATTCCAACTCATGCTGACCCCATGTGCGTCAGAGTAGAACTGTGCACCATAGAGTTTTCAATGGCTGATTTTTCAGAAGCAGATCACCAGGCCTTTCTTCCAAGATGCCTCTGGGTAAACTTGAACCA